TCTGAGCCTGACCAGGGGCTGCACCTAGGGATTGGGCGTGCCCTCTGCCACCTGGGAGCAGGCCTAAGCCAGCAGGTCGTTATCTCCCGAGGGGTCCCAGACTGCGAGAGGGCACAGGCCGGGCTGGGGGACCCCCCTCCCCCCGAGTGCACAAATTTTTGTGCACCCGGGCCTCTAGTAAAATATAAATTGATATAAGGTTAGGATAGGTAGAGGTCTCAAAGTGTGGCCCATGGACCCCTGAAAGTATGTAAGTTCAAAACTATTTTCAAAATAATACTTACATGCTACCTTTTTCAGTGCCATGACATTTGCATTGATGTTGCAAAAGAAATGGTGGTAAAACTGCTCATGAGTTAGCATGAATTAGGACAATGACTCCAAACTTACTAGTAGTTATTGTATTCTTCCCACCATGTACTCTTGGTTAAAAAACAGACAAACCAGTTTCACTTAAAAATGTCTGAGTAGCCCTAGCTGGTTTGGTTCAGTAGATAGAGCATCGACCTGTGGACTTAAGGGTCCCGGATCGATTCCGGTCAGGGCACATGCCCGGGTTGTGGGCTTGATCCCCAGTAGGGGGCATGCAGGGGGAAGCTGATTGAATGATTCTTTCTCATCACTGATGTTTCTCTCTCTCTCTCCCACTTCCTTTCTGAAATAAAAAAAAATATATATAAAAAAAGCCTGAGTAAACAGTATTATTGCTATTATTTTTTAATCCTCATCTGAGGACATGCTGAGAGAGAGAGAAAGAGAGAGAGAGAAACATCAATCGGTTAACTTACTGGAGATCAAACCCACAACCCCCCAGGTAGGTACCTGCAGCAGGAATCAAACCTGCAACTTTTTGGTGCACAGGATGATTCTCAACCAACTGAGTCACTCCAGCTGGACAACAGTAAACATTATTAACTTTTAAAAACTTCAAACCTTGCCAAAACCGGTTTGGCTCAGTGGATAGAGTGTCGGCCTGCGGACTGAAAGGTCCTGGGTTCGATTCCGGTCAAGGGCATGTACCTGGGTTGCGGGCACGTCCCCAGTAGGAGGTGTGCAGGAGGCAGCTGGTCGATGTTTCTCTCTCATCGATGTTTCTAACTCTCTATCTCTCTCCCTTCCTCTCTGTGAAAAATCAATAAAATATATTTAAAAAAATAAATAAATAAAAATAAATAAATAAAAACTTCAAACCTTGAGAATATGCCTTTTTAATGTTCTGGATTGATGAAATAGGACATATTCATAAAGCAATTCTGGTCATGTCACAGTATGATGGTTGTCTTGAAGATAACCACTCATGAGATAGTTTGAGTTGTGAGCTGAACTAGCCATTTTTTTCATGGACCACATATTTCTGGAAAGAACTGACAGACAAGTTATGTTACCCGTGCTGGATATTTGGCAAATATTTTCTAAAGATGAATGAAGTGAGCCTGTCATGTCAAGAAAAACAACTAACAGTGTTTGATAAAATTTGAGCTTCCAGGAATAAATTACAATTTTGAAAAACATTTAACTACCATTGATAGCCTGATAGCTAGTCAGGGGACGACATCTGGTCTTCCAAATACTTAGAAGACTTTTCTGACAATGTCAGTGGTGACACCAAAAATTGTCTAAAATATCTTTATTAATTTGAGAGAGGGAGAGAAAGAGAGAAACATCAATTTGTTGTTCCACTTACTTATTGGCTAGTCCTTGTATGTGCCCTGACTGGGGATCAAGCCCAGAATCTTGGTGTATCCAATGATGCTATAACCAACTGAGCTACCTGGCCAGGACTGTTATTTTTTAAATATTGTATAATGTAATGTGCCAATATTTGGAAGATCTCCATAACTCAGTGAACCAGTATTTTCCAAAATATCAATAGTTTGTGTTTTTTTTTATTGATTTCTGAGAGGAAGGGAGAGATAGAAACATTAATGATGAGGGAGAATCATTGATTAGCTGCATCCTGCATACCCCTACTGGGGATCGAGCCTGCAAACATGGGTAAGTCCCCTTGACCAGTCTGCAGGCTGACGCTGAGCCAACCCAGCTAGGGTGAAAATATCAATAGGTTTTAATGTAAGAGTATGAAAAACCATGGATATAGTTTCAGATGTCACACTGTTAACTAATCTTTAAGAAACTACCACTTGCTCTGTTTTGGTGTAGTATCAGAACAGCCACAAGTATCAAAAGAGACCATAAAATCCTCCTCCCTTTTCCTACTATATATTGGGGGTGAAGCTGGATTTTCTTTCTTTCCTTTTTTAAAAAAATTCTTTATTTTTAAAATCCTCACCGAGCATATGTTTTTATTGATTTGGAGAGAGAGGAAGGGAGTGAGTGAGGGAGGGAGGAAGAGGAAGGGAGAGAGAGAGAGGGAGGGGGAGAGGGAGAGGGGCAGAGACAGAGAGAGAGAGAGAGAGAGAGAGAGAGAGAGAGAGAGATTGATGTGAGAGAGAAGCATTGATTGAACCCGCAACCTGGGTAAAAGTGAACATGATCAACCCTCTAACCCAACAATTCTACTTAATGTATATATCCAACAGAAATGCATACATGTGTTCATCAAAAGAGAGAATATACATAAGCAGCATTACTCATATAGCTAAAAACTGGAACTACTCAAAAATCTAGTATACTGACATAATGAAAGACTGTACAACAATGAGAATGAACTATAACTAAATGTTACAAAATGAATGTATCTCACAGTAATCTTTAGTGAAGGAAGTCGGGCACAAGAGTATACACAATATGATTCTGTTTATATAAAACTAAGTCAAAACTAATCTGGGTATTAGAAGTTAGGATAAGGTTACTCTAGGAAGGAGGGCAGTGACTTAAAGAGGGCACATGGGTGTTTCTAGGGGTGCTGGAAAGGTTGTTTCTTGATTTGGTAGCTGTGTTCAACTTGTGAAAATTCATAGACCTGTAGTTATATTTTTACTTATATTGAAAAAAAGAAGAAAAAGAGGCAAAATGAAGCAAAATATTAGCGTGTGTTTGATTTTTTTCTCGACTTTTATATAGATTTAAATTGCTATATTCATTTAAAATATTTTAAAAATAGCCTGGCTGGTGTGTCTCAGTGGTTGAGCTTCAACCTATGAACCAGGAGGTCAAGGTTTGATTCCTGGTCAGGGCACGTGCCCAGGTTGCGGGCTCAATCCCCAGTAAAGGGCGTGCAGGAGGCAGCTGATCAATGACTCTCTCTCATCATTGCTGTTTCTATCTCTCTCCCTTCCTCTCTGAAATTAATTAAAAAAAAATACATATCCTATATAATAAAACCCTAATATGCAAATCGACTGAAAGGCAGAACGGCTGGTGGCTATGACACACACTGCCCCCCGAGAGGGAGGCGATTGGGGGTGGGGCCGGCCAGCGGATGGTGCCAGACCGCCAGCTGGGGACCCCCCTGCCCCCCGAATTGCCCTGCCCGCCGGTCGCACTGCAGATGGACCTGATCGTTGGTCAGGCCTAGGGACCCTACCCTATATACTGGGAACAGTCTCTTAGATTCAAAAATTAAAACCTGGCAAGGCTACTCTAACACTGAAAAAAACAGGATGATGCAGTGATGACATGCACGGACTCTGGCTTGCACATTTTGTTGTCAACCCTGATTCTGACACTTGTAACTGTGTGACAAAGCCAATTACTTAACTTCTCTCTGCTTCAGTTTTCCACCCATAAGATGGGGAAAATGGTACTACTGCCTCAGAAGGATCACGTTATGTACTATTTTTTATAATTAGGGCAAAAAAATGTAGCTGCCCATACAACAGTAAGATGCCTTTCACCTGTAGGAAAAGTATGGTCATTGGTGCATGCAGCAGCCGGGATTGTGAGAGGGATGTCTGACTGCCGGTTTAGGCCCGAAATCCCGAGGGGTCCTGGATTGTGAGTCCCCCCCGCTCCTGTACACCCCTCTGAGGGAGGTGACCGGGCGGGCAGATCAGGGGATGGCGCTCTCCCTGCCCCGCCACAGGCCTCCCTCTGCGGGAGGCAACTGGGCCAACAGGGGAAGGCGCCACCCCCATCACCCCGCCACTGCTCCTGCCACCAGCCTCCCTCTGCAGGAGGCGACTGGGCCGCTGATCAGGGGACAGCGCTGGCTGGCACGGGCACCCCATCATACCGCTGCTGGTCACTGCTGCCCCCCTCCCCGGCCCCATCGCCATCCCCTCCCTCTGCCCACTGGCATGCGCCTTGGCTGGCCTGGTGCCACCTGCTCGCTGGCCCTGCCCCCCTGCCAACTGGTGGTTCCCTCGTTTGGTCTATTTGCATATTACGCTTTTATTATATAGGTCCTATAATATAGGATAAAGCATGTAGGCACTGCTAATACAGTCTTTCTTAAGCACCGAAAAATGCCAATTCTTCACTGTCCTGAGGGGCTATTATTTCTGAGGACTCGCATCTATTTGACTCACCTGAATAGCTGCTTCTGGGGACTTTTCTCTCAAGCATCAATGTTTCCTTTCCATTCTCCAAATTGTAGTTCTCAGGCTTGGAAACTGGAAGCCCTGCTCAAAAGAAAGAAAGGAAGAAAGAAAGAAATGGGACTTACTAATAGCTATCTGTGATGGGCAAACATCTATCGTAGAGAGTAGTGCCAAATCCCTGATCTACAAAGAGGACGGGAGTTACAGGAAGATCTGGAGTGAGGGAAGATGGACCTCCACATGAAGCTTAAAATATCTGCAGGAATCTGGGCCTGGTAAGGAGTTTCGAAGCACTTGAAAACACAAGTGTTCGTGCCTGTCAAAAGAGAAGAGAACTTATCTTTCTTCACTGAGGAAATTCCAGGGAGACGCTGCATGTCAATCCTCAGCTTAGGGAAGGAGCTGGGGAAAACAGGAGCCCAGTGGCAGCACTACACGTTGTGACTGTGTAACTAGAATTTTTGTCTTCTGCTTTTCTTTTCTTCCTTCTTTAGCTACTAGAACCCACTTTCTTAGGGAATTTATTACATGAGGTTGGGGAGGGGCTAACATAGTTCTTACCACATCCATACAAACACATATATGCACTTGTGCACGTGTGTGCACACATACACACAGGTACACACAGGCTCAAAACTGCCCAGAGTAACCTATTTCCCTGGCTCTAGTAGTTGTTTCATTAACCAACATGTGACCCTATTTGCTGAAACTCCTAGGATAGAAGCACTGCCTTTTTTTACCTTAGTTCTCTAATTGGAATAATAATATAACCCTAGAGCTACTAAAGGCCATCTTTGCCACATGGGGAGACCCTAGGAATAAAGCCAGTAGGGCAAAGCCAAGCCACATGATTTTAAAAAAGAAAAAAGAAATTCCTGGTTATATATTTGATTCCCTGAATCAAGATTTTTCCCACGTGGGGAATGGAATCCAATACCTAAACCCATCTCTCTTCATTAACAGAAGCCTTCATCGCCAGGGGATGGGCTCCAACACTGTTACCTGAGGAAAGTGGCGGAAACCCAGTGCAGCTGGGAGAAGTATTTGCCCCTGGAGGAAAGGTAGGGATATGTATGAGGCCCAGCACTATGACTGAAGACAGAAATATTTATAAAGTCCACACTTAATCCAGGTTCACAATGCCTAGGTAAGAGCAAGCTTAATCAGATAAAAACACCCCATCTTTCCTACCTCCCATCAATATGCTAATGGATTTAACTCTTTTGTAGAAAGACAGGTAAATAACCCAATTTAACTTCAAAAGCCACATTTTGAAGGCAGAGATGAGCAAGAACATTTGGGCTACAGTACAGAAGCAAACATATGTTGTAGTATTCATATTCACCTTGATGATATTTCCAGATCATGGTGTGGGGCAATCAAGTACAAGTAAAAAGCAAAAGTCTTACTGCTGCTGAGAAAGTGCAATTTAGTTCTATCAAAGGACTACCAATAGAGAAGTAACTATAGAGGAGCACCAAAATCTATATACAAATACCATCCAATCTTTTCGAGTCCTGAGCTGTGCATAGGAAAAGCACAACTTCAAGTAGACCACCACAGCTGGGGGAATAACATGCTGAGGAGAGACTTTAGAAATGACAGATTTCTAGAAAGTGAGGTTGTACTTATCCCATATCAGTATCAACAAGCTGTTAATGTGGGCTTTTAGTTGAAAATTCGTAAGGCCACAAACTTCAAAGAAGAGAAATACCTTAAAAAGTAATTTGCCCGCTCTAGGGGTAAGCACTGCACCTTAGGGGGAAGGGGAAAACGAAAACAGAACCACCTGAAAAAAAAAAAAATCAGGCAGGATCAACGGTTACTCAATTCCAGAAGATACCCAGGAAAATGTTATCTCTTTAAAAAAAATAGATTAATTTACTTAACTTACAATAAATATGGTGTTTTTTTTAATCCATGGGAAAAAAGAAGACTTCCTGCCCCCTAAGCTAGTGTGAATTAGGTTTCTGTCACTTGAATCCAAAAAATCCCAATACAAAACAAACATAGGCAGTTCACCAAGAACCTAGGACAGGAATAGATTGTCTCTGGGTCCAACAGGATTCAGACTTTATGACTCCTGAATGGAAAGTGAAGGCTTTGTAAAGCTATTTCACTGTCAATAAAGAATGCTGTCCCCGTAAGCAGACCGCAGAGTCACAATGAGAAGCCGTCCTTACAAAGCGAGACCAGGTTCCTATAGTTCTCCAGCATCACGTCCGTCTGTGCAGGATCCAGCTTCCCCCACTCCTCGGGGGTAAGGTCCATGGCCACATCCTTGAATGTCACAGATGCCTAAGACACAAAACATACTTCTGTTCACCATCTTTCACTTGACAGCATCCACCCCCCCCCTCCCCCCGCAGTTCTGGTGGCCCTGGTGCAGGGGGACTGAATACATCTAAAGTGACAGTGATAAATGACAAGTGTTCTAATAGTATTCAGAGTCTGAATATTCTATGTAAAGCCACTGGTATCAGTTATGTGCCATGCACGCTCTGCTAGGTTCAATATGAGAGTTTCTCCATTGAGAGACTATCACTTTTCTGGGGAATAAAGAGTTAAAAATAAAACATGAACTAATGAGTTGACGATGCAGTTTGGCAAAGTAAACAAAATTCAGCTAGAGGAGGAAAAAAAAGCCTGTCTGCATAACTCTCCTTGTGCATCCTCAATAAAAACCTGAAGAATCAATCTAGCCAATCAGAAGATGAGTTGAAACACAGACCCTGTGAATGGAGAAGTCATGGAATGAAAAGACTGGCAGTGAGCACCAAATCCAATTAAGCATGGAATTAATTTAAAGCAAAAAGCAGTAACTGAAAAATGATGGCAACAGATTGAGTAAGGGAACAGAAAGAACTGAGGTTTATGTGTAAATACCATAGAATTAAGTTTCTATAAGACAAAAAAAAAAAAATACAAAACTGTAAGGAGGTGAACACATATAAGTATTATTATATCCTTTTTATTTATTTATTTATTTAAAGAATATGAAATTTATTTTTACTTTTTAGAGAGGGAGGGAGAGCAAGAGCGTGAGAGAGAGAGAGAGAGAGAGAGAGAGAGAGAATGAATGATGTGCTACAGACACATCGATCCCTTGCCTCCTATATGTGCCCTGACTGCAACCTAGGTATGTGCCCTGACCATGAAATGAACCCGTGACCTCTGGTGCATGGACGACACTCCAACCAACTGAGCCATACCAGCCAAGGCATTACATGCCTTTTAAAATAAAACCATACAGAATGTGAATAATATTCCAAGGTTATTGAAATAAATATATATCAAATGCCATAACTGGATAGAAAACACCTATTTAAACATTCATGAAGCATTTGCAAAAGTAACAAAGTAAATTTAAATAGATTCCAAGCATAAATAGAACAGAGCAAAAACTGATAATTGAAAAAAACATCCAAATGTCAAAATAATAAAATGTAAAACCAATGCCAAATCACTAAAACTGTACTCTGAGGTGATTTCATAGCTTTAAACACTTCCATTTCATTAAAAAATAATGTAAATAAATGAGCAAAGCATACAGGTCAAGTTAGAGAAAGAACAACAAACTAAGAGACAGAAAGAATTACAGGATAATACAGGATAAAAGCAGAAATGGGGGGGGGGGGGAGACAAGAACAATAGGTTAGCTGGGAGGTCTAACTAAGGTCAGTATGTTGTAGTACTGTATCAATGCTAGTTTCCTGATTTTGGAAAATAAGAATAAAGTGAGGTAAAGTGTTAACTTTTGGAGAATATGAATGGAGGGTAAATCCTAACCCTAACCCTAGTATGTAAGAAATCTTTCTACCATTTACATTTCTTTAAGCCTTAAATTATTTCAAAATAGTTTTCAAAAACGGAAATAATCTGAGACTTAAAAACATACAACAATCATCCTTGGAAAATAAAATGTAAATCTCTAAGTAGACAAGGCATTTTGAGGAAAAATGACTGAGATCTTACAGCCTGCATATCCACAGCTAAATTGACACTCAATGAAAATTAACTTCCAGACGATTACAAGAAAAAAATCGGGACACAATTGCAAACCAATGCACAAAAGGCAGAAACACACACAAAAGAAACAAGGAAAGCATAGTAAATAGAACTATAAAAATCACACGGCAAGAAAAATTTGAAACATACAATCATATTAATGTGAATGAGTTAATTTCCCTTAAAAAAAAAAGTAAATGTTTTTTTTATTGATTTCAGAGAGAAGGGAGAGGGAGAGAGAGATAGAAACATGGATTGGCTGCCCCCTGTTCATTTTCTACTGGGGATTGAGCCCCCAACTCAGGCATGTGTCCTGACCAGGAATCAAACCAGTGACTTCCTGGTGCATGGGACAACACTCAACTAACTGAGCCACACTGGCCGGGTGAATTAATTTCCCTTAAAAAAAAAAAAAAGCCAAAACCTGTTTATACAATAACACTCCTAAAAACACCCCAAAGTTGGGGACTGGCAGTGGGAGAAATCAAAGAAAACATTACATGTCTGAATATAGTAGTGCAAGTTCACCAAAAGCATATGGAGAGATATACTGGTAAATCAAACTGTTACCCTCAGTAGGGAGAAGAAGGGGACTGAATTTGAGGAGGAAGTAATATTACTTTTACATTTACATATGTCTGTGCATTTGTGCATTGTACATTTACACCTGGTTACAACCAACTAAGAATTAAAACTTTAATACTTTTAAAAAATTAAATACACAAAATACAAAACACAGTCCAGGCAAAGCATCACACCACATCTAATGCAATGCAAAAAGGACAAAAGTTTTTAAAAATTTCCATAAAAGGTTTAATCTATCCGAGGCTCTACCAGTCTTGAATCTAACATCAAAGTGTTCCTCTGGCACTTGTACTTGGATTTTCCTTGGCTACTATGCTGGTCAGTGAGTTCAGGTAGGATTAATTGTATCTCTGACTCGTGGTGGTATGTGTGCTTCCATGTGTGTGTGCAGGTATATTCCATAGGTCTGCACAAATTGGTCCAAGAATGGGCCTAATACCCGTTAAAGAGTTAACCCCTGGACTTCTGCTGGAATGACCAGGAGGGAAGCTGCCCTTTGTCTCGGGTCTTCAGTGAGGGAAGCTGTAAGCCTACATGTGGCAGGGGCCAGCACTAGGAAGAAAACTTGCTTGAGAGGAAAACCCACAGAGAGAAAAGAAGAAGTCAGCGAAATGGAGGAAATAGGTTCTAATGTTATTACTTGAGCTCTATTTCTAGTTAGACCTGGATTTTTCAGTCATGATAGCCAATAAATACCTTTCCCTTACATCAGCTTGAGTTGAGCTTTTATCATCTGCAACTTAAAGCTTCTTGACTAATAGTCTTCAATACTAATGTAAGGCAGTTGAGAAACCAATGAAGACAGGCAAGTATATAAGGACCCCAAGAAGTCACTTTTACAAACAGTACCAATGCACAATATGGACTTTTTACACTTGGAATCACAGTAGCAAAGAAAAAGGCTAATTCAGGAATCGTGGGTTGTGGCATGCCACACACATCATGAAGAGCTCTTTTCTCTTACCTAACTTCTTTTAATAAAAATTTCAAACATACAAAACGTTGAAAGACCAATACACGAATCACCCATATAGTACAACCACCCCTTAAATTTTTTTTTCTTTATTTCAGAAAGGAAGGGAGAAGGGTAGACAAAGATAGAAACATCAATGATGAGAGAGAATCACTGGTTGGCTGCCTCTTGCACAGCTCCTACTGGGATTGAGCCCACAACCTGGGCATGCGCCCTTGATCGAAATTGAACCTGGGACCTTTCAGTCCGCAGGCCAACACTTTACCCATTGAGCCAAACCAGCTAGGCCAACCACCACTTAAACAATTCTTAATATTTGCCCTTGTTAAGACAGATTGGAAAATTGTTTCACTTCTAAACTTGTGCATTCATCATCTTGGAGGGCTGGATTTTAACTCTTTAAGTTAAGCCTTCCGTAGGCTTTCCTTTTCAAGTGCTCTTCTGAACTTTTGGGCACGTACTATTTTCATAACTCACTTCAGCACTAAAGAAAGGTGCTTTCTTAATTTCTTACCTAAGAGTCATGTGCATGTTGATTCCCCTGCAGAAACATAAATTTTAAGATATACCCCAAAGATTAAAAATGGTGGCAGAGTAAGTGGATGCTACAAAGACACGCTCCCAGGACCAAACTGGAATTACAACTAAAATACAAAAGAATCCTGAATAATCAACAGGAGATCAAGATATGCCCCATATTTTATATTAAAATAGTTTCCTAAATTACCAAGCTCAACAATTAGCACAATAGGCAAAGAAGGGTAATTATGCTCCTTACCTGCCTGTTGACTGACAATAAGTACTATATGGAGAAGATGCCATGGGTTAGCAGAAAACATTTTCTACTGAGTCCATTAGCCACCCGAGTAGTCTTAGAATAGAACTCAGCTCTCCAGATGGGCTCTAGTAGACAAAGAAACTTGACATCAAAAAGAAGGGTGCGCCTGTACTCTGAGAAATAAGGTGGAATTTCAATAATCAGTAAAGACTCACCTGGGATCTGGCTGTGAGGCGGAGAGCTGCCACTTCTCCCTTTTCTGTGCTCTTCTCTTGGGAAAAGAGAGAATCCTGGGAAGACGTAGCTACGGGCAAGAAAGCAGTAATTGTGGGATCTAAATCTAGGTTGTGATTCAGATTTACAAGACAAAAATCCCTCCCTCTACGAAAGATGCTCCTGCAAATACTGCACCTGAAGGCAGCCCAGACAACTCCTGACCCTGGGGTCATGGAGAAAGTCCAGGAACGTTGCCACTTGGACATAACACCTACTGGCAGGTGGCACTCTCTAATCTAGAAATTAGAGTAAGTCAGTTTATTTCCAAGTTTAATGTACATTAAATTAATATATGAAAAATAGGCTCAGTTCTCAAAAATCACCCTGCAAGCTTATTTAAATGTAAATCACTAGATTCCACTTCCTAATAATTGCTACTAGTTGAGTCTGAGGTGCACTCCAGAAATCTAATGAGCAGGCCATGGGTCAGGAGAAAACATTTTCTTCTGAGTCCATTAGAAAAGGCTGACATGAGGTCACAGACCAAACTTCAAGAAAGACTGGGCTAGTCAATTACCGACCTCTGCGCCTGCTCTCTACTATGCAAAACAGCAGTATTTGCGCGACTGACATAATACGATTGTTGTGCCACGGGAAATAACAGATGTGGGAAGATATTTTTTGCCAGCCAAATAAGCTACGTTCTCAGACTCACTGACAGTTCGGTGAAAAGAACGTGTGAGCAAAAGTGATTGAGGCTGTGCTCTGGCCTTAGCTGCTAACATTTTGGGATGGCTTTCCAGGACCCACTGTGCACCAGCTCAGCGGGAGAGGGGGGTCCCCCACACCAAGCCCTGCATTCTCATGCAAGGAGCCCAGCCATGTCCCAGACAAAGGAGACTGGCAGAGCCGCCCGCCAAGGGCCACCTCCCCGGGGCAGCCCATTTCCTTTCGGGGGAGGACGGCCCCCTCCACACACAGTCCAACATCCCCGCAACTCTCACCTCTCTTCTCGGGCATCTCGGCCCAATCTGCCTCCATGATCCCCAATCCTCCCGGTTCTGAAGATCGGAGCTCCCGTCTCCGCGCTCCTCAAGCTGGACCTCTCCGCACGTCACAGCGAGAAGCCCCGTCCTCCCGGCGGCCGGCCCTCGGGCGCTGCGGAAAGACCGGGTCAGTCAGGCCCGCTTCTTTCATCGATCCGGGACGTCGGAGCTGAGTGCCGCGGAGGCCAAGGTCCCCG